AGGAATCTACCATTTTCTCTTTGATTATAGCCTCCATAACTTTACCAGTTATACAAGTTAGACTGATTGGCCTACAGCAGCAACTGCAGCAAAGGAAATGTAAGTTTCAATGCCCAGCTGAGATGATGCTGCTTATAGAATGAAGTCGACTAGCTCAGATTAGTCACACAAGGGCATAACTTTGCTAGTAGATGTAAAGCATCCAGTGAATGCTAGAGGATAAGGGTTAAGAAGCAAATGAGATAAAAGATAATTATATGAGTGGGTCATTGAAAGGTGGTCATCTACTGCAAGGATTAAGAATAAATGAAAGTCTAGCCAGTGATGGTTAAAAAAAAACTAGCATAGTTGCTGCCAGAGCAACAACACTGTCACCAAAGCAACGAGCCCTGTCACCCCCTCTCCCCATCTAATCCTTACTCCTCCCACACCCCCCAACCTCTAGAATTTCTAAAATTGTAAATATAAAAGCCAATAAATGCATTTTTACCTGAATGCTCTGAGTCCTGGTCATAGCACATAAGTACCGTTCTGAAAGTACACATATTCATTTATTGTACATTGTAGACTCACTCGACAATTTCCTCAATCTCTCTCCACCAAATAAGCAGTTAACTTTATTTCTTTGTATATGTTTTGTGTATGTCTGTGTCTTAAAATGTCATTTTTATTCTTTGTAGGTCTATGTCTAAATATTTATATTGTATTCCTCATTTTCACTATGACCAGCACTTTCCATGACATAACAGTAAGAGGTGTACATGTGTGAGTGAATGGTGTGTAAGTGTGGCCTGCGCAGGGTCCTTTGTTATTCTCTGCCTTGCGCCTGTAGCCTCTGGGATTGGCTGGCAAAAAACTGCCTCACGGACACAATGGCGTGTACTTAAAATCTTCATAATGTACCAGATCCTAAACTTGTGAAAAGACTACCAATAACAAACACTAGCAAACAAACAAAAAGTTGTAATATTAGCATTTTAACTTTTGAAATAAACATATATTTATTATAACGTTAGACTAGAAGAACTTGCATCCAAGAATTGAAGCTGACAGATAAATGCAACAATGTATTCTCTGAATGGCGTCATCAACCGCTCTCCTCCATCTAATCACTACAGACAGTATTGCTACAACGCGACTAATGTGTTCCTGGAAAACCTTGCATTCCTTAAAATCATGTACTAAAACACACATATCCAATAAGAAAAATAGCATTAAGGAAATATGATTCCAAAACATAGTAACTTACGGCAAACTAAATAAATCAAATAATAAAAACAGTGATACCGGTGGCCAATAATGTAATTATATGCATTTTAAATAAGAAAAAATAAAAATACACTAAAAATGATATCATGAATATTTCCAATTGGTCTTATGAGTCTCACGAGAATTGCCTACTAACCTCCTTAACCTAAAGTGTTGAACTCGCTAAGTTGTTGATTGCTGAAAGTCAGGAGTAGTGATGGCTACTAGCTCTAGGTTTACTTTGGAGTATGCTTTGAGCCTTTTTTTGAACAGAGTGCGCCATCTAATGGTATCAGAAAATGCAGCAAATGGTTCATGAAGCGTACCTTTAGCCATCATTAGTGACCCACAGAAACCGAGTGGCCGGGGATGCACACAGCACACATACAACAGATTAGAGCAGGGGTCTCCAACTCCGGTCCTGGAGAGCTACCGTCCAGTAGGTTTTCTATCCTACCCGGCTTCTGATGAGCCACACCTCTTCTCAGGTAAATACCAGGAGCAGGTGTGGCTCATCAGAAGCCAGGTAGGATAGAAAACCTACTGGATAGTAGCTCTCCAGGACTGGAGTTGGAGACCCCTGGATTAGAGTATGCAGAGGGGCACTGAAGGCAACATGGCATACAGACAGTCTACGAAGAGCAAATGTAAGTGAATTAAAAACCCTTGCTGTGTTTTTGTATGATAATTTGTCAAATATTTTGATCTGTACAAAAAGTTTTATTCTTTTAGATTTGAGAGCTGGTTTGACTGATTCGCTGAAAAGAACCAGTTCAAAAGAATGATTTGTTCACATCACTACAGTTCAGTTGAATAGTTGTTTTTGCCTGCAAGTAGTGTTTCTCACTAAGACCATATTGCATTGTAGTTTCACGTAGTGCTTTTCTCTCTGACTGAAATCACATGAATACAAATGCAATTCCGCATTATACTGGATTTAGGTACTAATATATAAATTGTGTAGATTTGCAGTGTGAAATCACACGTTGTAGCAGGACTGACTGTACTTCTCCAGGCCCCCAACTTCTGTCTCTAGCTCCTCTACAGTAGGCTTGGCCAGTATCTAGGCTTCAGTTATTGCTCTAATGAAACTAAATGACAAAATTGCCCTTTACTTTCCCGACACTATGTGGTGCTGCTGAAATTTTGGGCTGATCTATCTTAATGTTTAATCAGATCCAGGACCTCACCCATATCCTCCTGAGACCCCACCCATTCATTTATGTTCATTGTAGTGGACATTTTGTTTTTGCATCTATCTGTTCACTGATGTAAGGAAACATATTTATTCCTGTTGTACACTAAAGAGGGCATGCTGTGAAATTAAAAATAAAAATAAATTTGAAAAAATCTAAATTGTAAGATGTCTTATTTCCTCCAAAGGCAAATAACCTAAAATTGAAGGAAAGCTTGAAAAAGATCCATCAAATACTTTTTGAGTTGTCATAATGAGAAAGTGTCTGCAGCGGTGGACTGATCCCTAAAGCATATGTATTCCCCTGCCACGGAATACAGTAAATGAAAGCTCTTGTTTAGAATCTGGTTCTGGTTCCTAATAGGTTGGAGTACAGATGCCTGGATGGGTGACTTCAGGGGTAAAAAATGAGAAGTACTCATTGATTGGTCAGAGCCCCATACCCTGGTGTGAGGAGAAGAAGGTACCCAGTGTACTGAGGACAAGATTAGTCCAGTACCTCACTCTGTTGGGGTGGGGATGTTGCTCATATGATTATGAGCTTAGCCCATCCCAAGAGTGGATCAGCATAATGCTTTTAGAGAACAGCCACCACAGGAGAACCATTGCATGGAAAAACAGCCAGGAGGAATATGCACACCACAAGGATGGATGAAATTAACAATCAAAAGCCATGCTGCCCCAGGAGGAATACAAAATGAACTGAAACCCTCCCATCAATGGTGAGTGTACAGAAGCGCACACTAGAGTGTGTGGCTTTTAAAAGGCTTTTCCACAGGACTCAGAGGAAGACGATCAGCCTGAGTAGGACCCCCGTCTCTGCCTCAAGACTATGCTAGGGGAGAGGCCCGCCCAATTAGGGGCTCCCAAGGAGCACCCCCCTACCCCCCTGCCATTTACTACCTCCCCCGCCCTTTCTGGACATGTCCTTTATGTTGTTCACCCCCATAATAAAGAGCCCAGTAAAGGTTTTTGCACCCAGTATGATTACCTGGTGCTTCTATCCCACCCCCACCCCAGAATCCCGTGCCGCACTCTACCTCTCAGAGCTGGACCACCATTAGTGCTTGCAGACAGAACAAAAGACTCCAGAAGTGACCAGTGGATCCCAAGAGAATAAAAGAGTGTGAAATAATAGAGTATGAAACATAGAAAAAAGTTTCATGAAAGAAGTTTACCATACTATCAAAAGTTCACTACCACAATTGCAGAAAACTGTCTGAGAGACTTTGTACCTTGTTAAGCAGGAAATTATTTCATCGGCTGATAACAGGAAGTGCCTGCACACATGAAACAGAGCTGACAGCCGAAACGCACAAAATAAAACTCTAGTCAACAAGGAGGGGACAGACCATGTGTTATTCTTGAAAGGTACCAATTTTCCTTAACATTTATAATGTTTAGCAGACTTACAGAACTCCAGAATTCTATAATGTGATTTGTTTAAAAAAAAAAAAATCTGACTCTCTGGAATCAGGAGTTCTATACACATTTTATTACAGAATAAATGTTTTTTTCCATATAAGACCACTAGTTACATTACCCATTACAACCGAAATCCAGATCACACAGAATAGAGCAGCTCTTTATTCTTTCATGGGTAGATGAGCTGCTGTTGTGGTGTCCCATTGCACTAATGTGCATTGTTGCTCAGCAACCAGGCACACCCGTGGTAATCAGCCTGTGGTGCCCCCATCAGGGCCTGAAAATGGACATTTGTGCAAGAAGAGTGGCCTAATGGGGTTATCAGAGCCAGTCCTTGTCTGCACGCCTGGCTGACGGCATTATATCACATCCCGAGCCTCAGCAACGCCCATGTCAAACTGATTAGGCTTGGTTAATGTGTAACATGATCAGAACATAGGGGTGGGGGAAGGTCCGGCACCTGAGTGCCCCCCAGTGGGCACTGGCAGTGCTGCAACCCAGCAGCCTTCAGGACAGGCAAGAACAGGAGAAGCGGTCTGAACCAGTCTGAGGCAGATGCAACCCTGCTTTCTATGGTGGGTTTTGTTCAGGTTCTTTTGTCCACTAAGAATGCAGCACAGCAGTGAACAGACTTTGGCATCACCTTCAGGATGAAAGAAGGATATGAATAGATCATTTTTTATTACAATTACACTCAGCTCAAATGGTAAAAAAAAACAACAACAAATAAATATATTCCAATTAAAAAGAGCACTTAAAAAAAATCGCTGCAATTACAAAGAAGTGCACTTTCCAAAAATCAGGTCTGGGAAGAAATAGGCCAACCTGATCGTTTAAATCCCACAGTACTCTAAGCTCATCATCGTAGTCACACTAAAAAACTAGCAATAAGGCTGCAATACTGTAGGGCCTCTTCTGTACAAAAAGTCCATTCCTGTTCAGACTTGTGCAGTAATTATACAGGCGAACGCTGTCTCTTTGGAAGCCAAAGATGCCAAGCAGCGGGACAGAGTCCTGAATGGCAGAGCAGGAAGCGGCTGCTCCGACGATCACTCCAGCCCAAGGGCCAAGGGGATGCCAGCGGGCAGGAGGACCCCGCCACGACGGAGGAGGCCGTGGGCGATACGAAAGTCCGCACGGAGGCCACAGGGGTCACACAACGGCCGCAGATCCTCACATGTGTCCAGGAGACGCAGCAGGAAGCCGGCCCTGACGAAGAGGCCACACAGGGCCCCGTGGAAGCGTGGCTCGGCCAGGAGACGCAGCCAGGACCCCCAATCAGCTGCCGAAAACGGCAAAGCCAAAAAAATCAGCTTCTTACCTTATTTCACACTCATTTTAACACAGACACACCTGTTTCTCCATATAAACACATCTATTAAGAGATACATTCAAACACAACTGCACACACACATCCATGAACAAATATATCAAGATTTGTAGGCATTTTGCATGGACTTCAATTCCACCCAAACAATAACAATTACTAAAACTTGTTGACAAACAGAAATTTTCAGTCATTTTCCCCTCCAAATTTTACAGTTCATACAGAAAAAATCTCTTTATTGGAGAAGGCAGTATATGTATTTTTCCTAAGGCTATAACAACTGGGCAGGTTTTGCACTGGCAAACTTAACTAAAAGCCTGAACCTCACCCTAAATTTAACTGCTGGCAGCAGCACAACCCCAAGACTGTAAGTAAACAGCCCAAGATTAGGCTAATAAGAAAATGGAGTGATGGATAAATAAAGGATGTTTTATACCTGGGTTGAATTGTTTGCAGAGGGAGACGTTCTCCCAGACAAGCCCAGTGTTTTCCCTGACCCAGAGTGCCATGGAAACATGGAGAGAGGAGCATTCTGGGTATCTATCAGCCAGTCGAAGCAGATAGGGGAGCAGCAGCTCCGACATTGCTACCGGCTCAGCAAACACATTCGCCTCGTCCTGCTCGTACAGACTGCAACGCCTAGAAAAAGAGTTTAAAAAAAGCTTTAAAAAAAGAAGCGCAGTGAGGTCTGTGAAATCAGGAGCGCGAGTGAGAGACATTCACCCAGAGCTCCGCATGTCACTCAGCGTGGCGCCGAGGTCCAGCTCCGGCAGGTGCAGCAGCAAAGCCTCCAGGGTCTCGGGGCCGTCCCACAGCTCCTCCAGCAGCAGATCGAGGAGCAGCAGCAGCCCCCGGCTGGCCTGCACCTGGACGCAGCTCTCCCCAGGCCGTGCCGCCCGGAGCCGGCCCACTGCCGAAGCAAAGCAGGCGGCTTCAGCACGAACCCGCTGGTCCTCGTCATTCAGAAGGTGGAGGCCAGTGCTGATCAACCTGGGCAGGCAGCAGGCGGCCAAACAAACAACTTTAAATGTGACGGGAATAAAATGTCAGGCTGACCCAGGATCTACTTCATTGTCTAAACTGTCAATTTTGCCTTTGGGGTTTTGCCACCATGCTACCATTTATTTCTGCAATAAACAAAGTTCTGTGTTCCTAATTTTTGGCTTCCTATTTGGGAGAAATGGTTAAAAAAATTATCAAATAACAGAAACAAATGGCAATGTTAATATGCTTAAAAAGTTTGTCAATAAAACAATAAAAACAAACACTGTATTTCACCATAACACTTTTTAGTTCTCTGAGAATGACTTGTATTTTAATAGAATGATTTATTTTAAAATCTAAAACATATTTGGCAAATGGCTCTAAAAAGAGAAAAGTCTGACAACCAGTGAAAATGCAGTTAACATGATATAGCTTAAGATTTTACGGTAGGCCTATAAGCCTTCAATAAACCAAAGCAAATATTGCAAATTATGATATTTTTATCCTGGGTATGCCTACATCTGGCATTTTTTTACAAAATAAACCATTTCCCCATGAGACACTAACTGAATTTTTGATTATAGCTCTGAATTCTGGGATTCTGTGCAATGTCACACGCAGTTTGACGTGTCCCTGTATCAAATGGGAGCAGGGGGTTGCTTTTCACTTCTTTAACCAATCACAGTCTTCGTTGTATGACATCACTGCATCAAGTAAAACCAGTGTTTTCTGTGATGCAACAAGATAGATTTGTGAAGTACCCATTTTATTGTTGATGACTTTTGTTAAGGGACATAGACAAAAAACATAGGAATGCTTACCTACAAAGGCTGTCCGGAGCAATGTAAGGGTGCATCTGTATTTCATGATAATAATAATAATAATAATAACAATTTTAACAACAATAACAACAAGACTTGAACTGACAACCTTCCAGTCACAGGCACAGCTTTAGCCAGCTGTGCTACACACTGCCCACGGCTCAATGGCTGGAAGCCTTGAGTTCGAAGGTATAACAGACCAATCTGGTGATGCCATAAAATGAAAACTGTGATTGGTTAAAGAAGTGCGATACGAGCGCGTCCCTTATTGACCAAGGACACGTCAAAAAAATCAGGATGTCCAAACTCATGCTGTTTACAACAAGGAAGGAATATTATAGGTCACTATTAAAATGGGTAACAAAATAATGCATGTGTTAAAGTGATCAAAGAAATAACAAAGCATTATGACTTTGTTAATGCAATAATTTTCCCAGCACTAAACAGAATATGAAAAATAGGTGCACATCTCAAAATTTTAGGAGTAATCACTGACTGCAATGACATAAACACACACCCCAGTTCTGAAGTGCTGAATACTCACAACCAGATATCGAGGAAACAGTAACATGCATTGCAACCTCACCATCATTGGTATAGCACTAATACAGTACACTGCAATACCCTAACTAAGGGGTGATCTGTCTGACACATAGCCTTAGCTCTGACCGGGCTGAGAGGACATGAAGGGAACAGTGGAGGTAACTTGATTCTCAGTGCTGATTGGTAAAATGAGTAGCACTACTAACCTAACACTCAGTACTGAACTGGAAGAGCCTCCCCCCATGCAGGAACATAAGAGACGGGGGCCAGCTAACCGCATGGCCTGAGCACACGCCAGCCTCAGGACTTCAGGGGCCTCCGGGACCCTGTACTTCTCTAGCTGATGGCACCAGCGGTCAGTCAGCAGCGACTCAGAGCTGAAGGCGGAGACATAAAGAGAGACAATTAGTGCAGAAGTATGGGAGCGAGGGATGTCATCACAGGACGATGACTGACGAGAGAGGGATAATTAGTACAGAAGGAGCAGTGAGATGATTTATCACAGATGAATGACTATAAAGGAAGAAGAGACAGTGATGATTAAGGAAAGGAGAGTGAGGGATAATTAGTATCAGAAGGAGTAAAGAGAAAGAGACGATTATCACAAAAGGATGACTGCAAAGGACAGGAGAGTGAGGGATGATTATCACAGAATCATGAGAGAAAACAAATGAACGCTGGCTGTATTATGGGGTTCTGCCTCATCGAATGACTGTTCCTAAGGAATGGAGAGTTTTGATGGTTTCCTTGCAGGTATAGCGTGACCACTGAATTACAGACTAGCAGGGGAGCAGTGACCTGATGTCCAGAAAAAGGCTGAGGGCAGCAAGAGCTTGGGAGAGGAGCTCCGGACCACCAGCGCCACTCTCCAGAACCTCCAGGAGCAGCTCAGCCCCCTCAGGCGAGGCCAGCCGGTGAGGCGTGAGGGGGTCTGTAGGGGTCAGCGTGACCAACAGAGCTGCCAGGTATGTCTTTCTGTACTCGACATTCCCACTCAACAGCGCCGCCTTCAGGTTGGCCTGGGAAAAACACAACTGTTATTTGTGACTATGACAGAGCCAAAAAAAGATGAATGATAAGCAGCTTCTATTCTTTTTCTGCAACCTGCTATTTCAGTGCATATTATTCTCAGGTTTGAAAACCAACTAACTAAAAGAACTACAACTCAGACAATCTAAATAAATCCCTATTACATTCTGAGGTTGAATCTAAGACATTTTCAGATTCTCATAAAAAACTGAACACAACCGGCATGACATTTGGTTAATTTTATTACAGTCATTTTGATACTGACTGGAATCAACGCCTTACTGAAAAGACGGAAATCCTATCTTTGTTTTAGTGGAAAAGGCCTTCGTTATTAGTATACATAAATGAATGCTGAAAATACAAAATGCCTTTGTTGTAACAGGAAGGAAATTAAACTTAATCCCCCCCACCACGAAAAAATTTCTTATCGACATGTTTTCTTACACGGTTTTCTGTAGAAGCATTCACTTAAATCGTTGTGCTTCCCAGCCCAATCATTTGATATTCCCACCTAATGCTGGTGTGTTACCTGCAGGGCCGTCTCCAGGACTTGATACATGCTGGTTCCTCTCCATCTTTGATCCTCCAGTATCCACCTGATCAATGCAAGCTGCACATCGGTACCCTCTTCTGGAAAGTTCTCCCACAATTCAGCCACCCACCGCATGTCACCCAGTCTCACAGTCTCTTCGCACAGGAAGCAAGCAGCGTTTTGAAGGAAGGAAGCGGAACCCACCTGCATAGGTGTGATTTAAATCCCCCCCCAAGTGAGACAATGCTGTTTCACCATAAAGATAGTGCTTCAGTACAAACCACTACCCATTCCATTAAGCTTAACAGTGTATAAAATTAGATTTTAAGAATGGCTATGATGGTTAAGGAGATATATTATTTAACTTCTATTTAATTTCTACATATGCACTTCCAGATTCAGAATAAAGTACTGGTGTAAGGAGTAACCATCAACACTCATTTCAGAGTAATTCAAGACAGAAAGAAGCAATGAAACACATTACTGCTCTTGGGGTATGATGGGGTCAGATGGAGAGAAAGGTTCCCTACCAGCTGCTCCTGGGTGGGATTAAGCAACTGCAGGAGAAGTTCAGCCTGAAGCTGCTCCAAGAATCTAGGTGAGCAGAACCTCCTAAGGTGGAGCAGAACCTGCAGGTAGGTCAACCGGATAAGGGGGCACCTCTGGGTTGAGGTTACCAACCACCATTTGGACTCAAAAAGCTCCACCACCTGCTGTAGGACCTTCATGTTCTCACTGCAAAATAAAGAATTCACCATGTCTTATTACCTATTCCTTACCATAGAACACAAACGTTAATACATTTCACATGAATGCCCCCCTGTTCCTCTCCACACATACCTGACTGCAGCCAGAGCCCTCCCCAGAAGTGCACTCATCTGTAGCAGCTGCCCGTGCAGGCGGTTGTGGCAGCAGGGGTCCTCGGGATCAGGCAGTTGTCTGGCCAACCCCAGGATAATGTTCATGTGTTCCACAGGTGGTGTCACGGCAACCAAGGCTCTACATGCCACCACTCTAACGTGGTAGATGGGGCTTCCAGCCAGCTGTAGCAGGGGCATCTGGAAGTCTGACAGACTCCTGGGAGGGTTGTTGAAAGACAAAAGCCTTAATATTCAACATATTGGAGTGGTCAGGCTTGAAAAGGCCCCCTCCCCACTTACTGTGTGCGATCCTGGGCTCCCGGCTGCAGCTTGGCCAGGAGGGTTAGGACAGGGAACAAGGAGGGGTGCAGGCGAAGTCGGGCTTCCCCAGAGGCCCCCAGGAGCTCACTGGCTGCCCCCCGCAACTCGCCCAAGAGGAAGGGCTGTAAGGCGGGGTAGTGGGTGAAGAAGGCTGAGGGAGACATCCCATGATGCACCAATCCATCATCACTGCCTGGCCGTTGGCCCAACATGCGTGAGCATAAGGCATCTGGAGCAGTGATGGCAACCAGACATCGATTCAGATCATGTATTTCCTATCCAGGCACTTTAAATCTTTCTTTATTAAATTAATAAAAGGAAATGGCCTGAGCTTATTGAATAAACTGCATGTCCCTTGCAGAATTGTGGGGTGGCCTACAGCCTATCCTAGGCAGTCAGGATACACACACAGACACACACAGGTTTGTAATTATATCTTTGTGGGGACTCTCCATTCATTTCTATGGGAAAAACTCTAATCCCAAATTGATGATCTTCTTCAATTCAATTCAATTCCATTTTATTTATATAGCGCATTATCACAACATTACATTGTCTTAATGCGCTTTACATTTCTGCCCTACCCAGCCCTAAACCTAACCATAAGTAACCAATCAAAATACGAGACTTTTGGCCTTTTTAGTTTTTTGATCGCATTCCCAGATCTTTGTGAGGACCTGAAAAATGGTTCCCACAACATCAAAATAATTTGGTCCCCACAATGTAATATCATCCAAACATACACACACACAGATTAGGTATCTATATCTTTGTGGGGACTCCCCATTCATTCCTATGGGCATAACCCTAATCCCACTTATGACAGCCGTAACCCCTACTAAGCCCTAACCATAACCATATGTAACCAAACAAAAGACAAGAGTCTTTTGGCATTTTTAGTTTTTTGATCGCAGTTAGATTTAAAAAAAAAAATTGAATTTCCCCTTATGGGAACCAAAATGAAATGGTCTCCAGCACATCAAAATAACAGGTTTCTACCACATTGTGGGTCTCCACAATGCAATGTGTACCTGGCCCACATACACACACACTACAGGCAGTTTGGAGATGCCACTGAGCCTAACGTCACGTCTTTAAATGTCAAAGTTTGGGAAGGAAGACATACGAACTCCACATGTACAGAGTGGAGCTGGGATTCAAACCCCCAACCCTGGAGGTGTGACGTCACAGTGCTACCCAGCGAGTTACTGTGCTTCCCATAGCCTGTATCAGCCTCCCACATACCTGATCTCTTTTATAAGTAAGGAATAGACCTTTGATGCATTGGGAAGGACAGGGCTGGGGGGAGGCTGGTAGTAGGAGGTCAGCATGGCAGGTGGGTGGGAGCGAACAAGGTGACAGTGCCTTACTGTAAAGCTGTAATGCAGCATTCCTCATCGCCCAGCAGGGGGAGCTCAGGAGTGTCAGGGACAGGATGGCAACGGGGGAAGCGAACTGGAGCATGGCCACACCCAACCCAGAACCACGCACCAGTGCCTGCAGAGTGTGAACTGCGCCAACCTGAGGGTGGGGACAATGCCAAAGAAGGAGTATGGACAGAGAGACACAGGAAGGACAGAAGGATGGACAAAACACAGTCAGAGAAACAGGAATAGATTAGACAGTGAGAGGAAAACAGAGAAATGGACCGCTAATCCAGACCTAACATGTGAGATCAGTGTTCTACTTCGATACGAGACCAATCTCGTTAATTATTCACATCTGTGTAAAGGTGATGTGAAGTATAGCATAATGATCTACCCTCAGTGGCCAGTATATTAGGTACATCTGCTAATTAATGCAAATAATGTGGTTACAACAGAATATATACTGCATGAAATGAAGCACCACAATGTTCAAGTACTGTTCAGCCAAGCATCCGAGAGGCATGTGGTGTAAGTGATCGTGGGTGTGGTGTGATGCATTTCTGTGTGTGTGTGTGTGTGTGTGTGTGAGCGGGTATACCTTACCTTATGGGGACACAATGTCCCCACAACGTGACGAATACACGTTTTTTTTTCCCCACAAGGGGAAACCTAATTTAATAAAAATCTGTGACTGTGAGAAATGAATGAGAAGTCCCCATAAAGATATGTTTACCTGTGTGTGTGCGTGCGTGTGTATAGGTGCATGTGCACGTGGGTCTGTGGATGAACAAACCTGTGGAAGGTCTAGTGTCTGGTTCCAGTTGTCAGACACAGGCCGACCAGCCGTCTCCAGCAGAACCCGCATGGTGTGGGCCAGCATGGGCCTGGCCTTGCCCGCCTCCTCTGCTGACAGGATGCACAGCACCAGCATGGGCAGCCCTGCCGCCCGCCTGGTCACAGAGGTGGCACAGCGCCCCTGAAGCACCGTTAGCACCTAGGAGAGGAAAGGGAGCCACATCTCTGAATGGCCCGTCTCTCCAGCCGGGGTCAAAAGTGGCCAGGTCATTGGAAGATGGGGACTTCGGATTCTAATCCCATCAAACTGTGTGTCTACTGCTTTTCAGTCGAACCTGCTCCTATAATCCAGTTAATTAGTAAATATAAATTATGAAAAATAAGTCGAGCTACAGCAAGAACCTGCATGTAAATTTCCTGCTAGGAGGGGAAATGGGGAAGATACACCTGGAGTGAGGAGCTGGCAGGACTGCTGTTTGTAAGCAGGGGCTGGGGGTGTGTGTGTGTGTCTGTGTGTGTGTGTGTGTGCGTGTGGGGGAAGGGGGGGTAGCATACCTGCTCCAGTAGGAGGCCTGGGATCACCTGCAGCTCAGTGTCACAGCTGGTCAAGAGGGTGGCACAAAACCTGGTTAAACCACAGCAGCAACCTTCTACAGCACCCTGGGGGAGGGGGGGGGGTGCGTAGGACACACATAGGGTACAGGGTCAGTAAGGGGGGAGAAGCATGTGAAACCTTCAAGTTTGGGCTACAATGTATTCCAGACGCCACCCAAAAACTAGGAGTGGGTAACTGGGGGAGGGGGGATTCCAAAGCTGATGTCACTAAATTACAATCTGAGGAAGAGACTACAGGAAATTCCCAAGGTAATACAGTGGAACCTCGGATTATGAGTAACGCGGTTTATGAGTGTTCCGCAAGACGAGCAAAGATTTTTAATAAATTTTGACTTGGAAACGGAGCAAGTCCTGATTTACGAGCGCCAAGTATCATCAAAAATCATATGGCACACATGCGCTTCTTGTTTTTACGTGCGCTTGGCTTCAAAACAGGAAGCACATGCGTGTGCTTCTTGTTTTGACGCCGAGCACACGTCATCACAACTGAACCAATGGTTATTCACTTTCTCACGCTGCGGAATTGTGGGTAATCGTCTCCCATGGTCGGTCTCAGTCGGTATGCCTCACTCGTATAGTCAAAATTTAGTAGAAAAGCACCACCTGAATAAGGGCGTAGCAGTGCGAGCGTTGAATCTGTTTAACGACAATGCAATGTCCACA